CAACTCTCATTAATTGCCTATTTGTTCAAAACTTGATTAATGTATATAATTATATGAATAGATTACTCTAAAAATATTCTACTTTGTGTAAGAAATTAAATAAAAATGTATAACAAATAGTTTTTTCAAAAATGTTAAATTATAATAACTTAAAGTTAAGTAAAAAAATATTTTTTGAAATAATGAGCGTTTTTCAATGAAACAATTGCCTGGTAAATGTATTAATAGTTAATATAGGATATCTATCTCAAGGATCATTAGTATAAAATACATTATAATGTTATATACGTTTAATACATATTTATTGATATATTTTGTTTTAGTAATCTATTAAAATGCAGGAGTAATATAAAAAAATTTAAACTCTAATAATTAAATAAATTTTGATAACAATTAGTATAACATTCTTAGTTAAATATTCTTATTTAGTATAATATGAATTTATAATGATAACATAACATGATTTAGGTACACTTCACAACAAAATAAGGAAACTACAAGAAATTCTTTTGACATCTGCAGTGTTAATAAAATGGATTATTCTTTAAACATTGCATAAATTAAAATTTAATTAGTAATTTATTACTCTTGTTTCAGAATTCCTTGAGGTCCACACAAAAATAAAATGTATACATATATATATATATATATATATAACTATAATTAGGTATTGGTACATTTGGTAAACAAAATATAGTCAACACAATATTAAATTTAAATTTAACCAAAAACAGTACACATTTAAAAGGGTAAAATATGGTCATACTATGGAATAATAACCTACCTACTACCTAGTGTTCCATTACTCTGAAAACCAGTTCCAATATCACTGATAACTGCTGGGCTTTGACTGCTATTGCATTCACCACTGGTACAAGATGTTCGTCTAAACTTTGCATATATAAAGGGGGAAGTTTACTTTGTCCACTTCCAGCTTCATATCCTACCTGTAATATTTGGCCCAATGACATAAATTTAAAATGTAATAAAATATTTTTAACTCCAAACAAAACAAWCAAATACACTCAAGATGTGTCTTAATTTCACATTGTTTAACTGTAACATCAATATGATTTTTATACTTGAAATTATATGGGAAAAAGGTGAACCGCTCTGCTGTACAGTAATTGTCGAGTATGTCACTATAATGGATGTGTTATATTTGAATTCAATAATAAATCTTTATACGGTTCTGAACAAAGATTGTATGTCATCCTAACATAARTATTTGTATAAAAAAATCATATTTAATGGTTAAAAAAATAGTTAATAAAAATCGGAAATATCACAATTTTTATTTTTGGTAAAGGTAGAACAATAAGGGGGAAATCTYCTATTAAAATTTTTAATATTAGCTACAAAAACAAAACTTTTAAGAATTACTAACTGAAAATTAATTTACATTTTAAAAATTTCTGATTCTCATAAATAGTTTTGAAAATTTTACCATGTATATAAAATGTAAATATAAATATTAAGAAAAAATTATTATTATTATAATTATCTAAGTTATTAATTTTGAAAATACAACAAAATATCAAAAACTGATAGATAAAAATTTGTTATTTACCGGAGAAAATCCAATATTGTAGAAATATTAAATTCAAACACTAATAAAAAGTTAATGTTACTTTCCAATAACTTTTTTTTTAGACAAATTTGTGGGGAATCTTTCATTAGAATTTTTTATGTTAGCTATGAAAAAAAAAATGTCTTGAATTTCTAACAGAACAATACTATGTAAATTTTCAAGATTTTGATGAATTATGACAAAATGTTAAYTTTAAATGCATATCTTTAAAAAAAATKTTTACCGAATCAGGATTGATGATAATTCGTAAGGCCAGAGGAGTCAACGATGCTGCAGATAACAAGTCTAAAAGAGGAACCAAAGCAGTACATGTCGCCTTGGATATAGATTCAGCTGTTCTACTGGTGTCCAAAGGTTCATCAACACGATCAGACGTTTCTTCGCACTATATCAAAATAAAATAAACTTATTTGGTAACTATTATATTATCAATTCAATGGTAAAGATAAAAGTGGTAATTTTTGATGTAGTATTTAAATTTTTGAAGAAATATTAGAAGTGATACATWAAACACTTTACAAATTCTTTGATCTATTTTAGCCATTTTAAGGTAAACTTAAGATATTATCATTAATCATATAAGGTACCATACTTGTATAACAAACACTTCAGTCCATCGAATAAAACGTCTTTTTCCTGAATAATCAACACCGTTATGAACTCTAATTGAGTATACACCATCTAATTGTCTACCATCAATACAACTCTTAACTCTAAACAATAAACAAAATATTTTACTGAGTCCATAAAGAATAAATAAATAGAATTTGTCATTACTCACCCAATATTGAAATTAACATCGTCTTCTGTCCAGTGAAATATCACTGTTTGCTCATCATTGGTTCCACAATTTAGTTCAAAGTCTTTCATTAGACGAAGAGCATCGCGTAATAATGCCATCTTTTGWGATGACATTTCAACCATGACACCATCTTCTACTATGCGCCATCTAGTACTAGCCTCATCTTCTAAATCACCATTCAGTGCAATAAAACTAGCACCGGTAACTATACAAACCATTTTTTAGATTAGTGAATACAATTAATATCATATAAATTAATTTCATTACTTTGTCTAGGTTTATTGTGAATATTAATTGCCTGAGTATTGTAGTTCCCATCATCTTTAGTTGATTGAACACAAACTAGATGAGAATCAGCAACTGCACTGAAGTTAGCACCAAAKGCTAGAAGACCACGATTTGATGCCAATACCAATCTTGAAACCTAAAAGTATTTTATAAATTAAAATAAATAACAGTAATATTAAATACTTTAATACATTTTTATAATA